GAGAGAGAGAGAGAGAGAGAGAAAGAGAGAGAGAGAGAGAGAGAGAGAGAGAGAGAGAGAGGGAGAGGGAGGAGGAGAGACAGAGAGCAAGAAGGAAATTGACTTGACAGGTTATAAGTCTCAACTTCATAAGCGTCATCATAAACATTTGAAATCTGGACAGAGAAGAACAGCTATAGGTAAAAACTGCTCCAATAAAGAATATATGAACAGTATAGTCAATAAAAGTCGGTAGCCCTGTGAAATATTTAACTTTATCATCATTTCCCTCAAAATCATTCTCAGTGAAACGTTCGGCTGTGCTCATCTGGCTCTTAAACTCAATGTTTTCCGTTCTTATAGAGTCTGTAGCTCAGATAAGGTTGCGTCATACAGAGGTCCAGTAACATCTGTCTGGGTGTGAACGCCACTCTCCTCTGTGATACACTTCTCATGTTCTCCCTGATTAGTTATAACAGCAGGTAGGCCTAGTCGAAAGAATTTCCTATCCTTTTCCCTATCAGATCGGTTAGTACATCCGACTATCCTACAATAATTCACCATTTTCGTGTGAAAATGTTGGAGCTCTCTCTAAACTGAACTTTCCACGCTGTAACCACGTCGCACGGTCGCACCAATGGCGCCAACATGGCCGCCTTTGTTTTGATGACGTCACGTGCAAGGGGTCTATATAAGGCGGCCGAAAAGCTGTAGAAATCAGAACGACGGGGCAGCAGCCCCTAGGAGAACCCAGGAGCACTCAGGAGGACCAAGGAGCCCTGCCTTGCCTATAGGATCACTAGAAGAACCCAGGAGCGCTAACTGCCTAATAGGCTTATAGCCATAGCATCAATAGGAGAACCAAGGAGCGCTGGCTGCCTCATAAGCCCTAGGATCAATAAGAGAACCAAAGAGCGCTGACTGCCTCATAAGCCCTAGGATCAATAGGAGAACTACGGAGCACTGACTGCCTCATAGGCTCATAGCCACAGTATCATTAGGATTACGAGGAGCACCGTTACGGGACGCACCCCTCCCCCAGGATTACGAGGAGCACCGCTACGGGACGCACCCCCCCCGGATTACGCGGAGAACCGCTGCAGGGGACACTGACTCCGTAGAATCACCCGGAGCACCGCTACGGGACGCACCCCCTAATTAGGATTACAAGGAGCGCTGACCCGATGGGGAGGCACCGACCAATAGGAGCACTGACACGGGGAACACTGACCCAGTGTAGGAGAACTAGGGCAGTCACCGAGAAGCAGACGACGAGCGCAGTTCACCCTCCGGAGAAGATAGAAGAAAGAAGATTTAAAAAAAAGAAGAAGGAAGAGAGAAGAAAGAAGAAGGAAGAGAGAAGAAAGAAGAAAGAAGAGAGAAGATAAGAGAAGGAAGAGAGAAGGCAGAAGAAAGAAGAAGGAAGGGAGAAGACAGAAGAAAGAAGATAGAAGAGAGAAGGAAGAAGATAGAAGGAAGAAGAAAGAAGAGAGAAGATAGAAGGAAGAGAGAAGACAGAAGAAAGAAGAAGGAAGAGAAAAGGCAGAAGAAAAAAGAAGGAAGGGAGAAGACAGAAGAAAGAAGATAGACGAGAGAAGGAAGAAGAAAAAAGAAGGAAGGGAGAAGACAGAAGAAAGAAGATAGACGAGAGAAGGAAGAAGAAAAAAGAAGGAAGGGAGAAGACAGAAGAAAGAAGATAGACGA